TACGCTACTGGCCAGTGCTATAAAGGGGAACGCTCTATTCGTAGAACGTTCCTCAGGGGAAACATTCTTAAGACGTATCGGGTCGGGTTGCCTGAAGAGTGCTATTTCCGGTGTGAGGAAGATGTCACGAATCAGAGCTTCAATTTCGTCATCGGTCAAAAGATCTGTGAACAGAACCATGTCGCGCGGAAACACGAAATGTAAGAATTCCTCTAGAAAGGCACCCGCGAAGGTAGAATGTAATCCAGAGAAATACTAATATTATCAGTACCATTTGACCTTCAGAGCTACTACTAGAGCTTGTCAAATCTGTACGGCTCTAATTGGTTAGATTCTAGAAGCCTTCAAATAAATAAAGCTTCACTGCGTTGAATCTTTTTCAGTCAATCAGCGGGAAACCGAAACCGAAGCCCGAAATGCTTGCTAGACCGAATGTCACGTTATTTACATTTCATTAGAACTACATAACCAATAAAAAGGTTAGAAAGAGATGGAAAACTTTAGATTGCGGGCTTTGGATCTGGTAGATCTCCTTGAGAGCTCTTGAAGTTTTGAGCGTCCACCCTGACTGACTCATGCGTGAAGCTACGTGATGTAATTTGGCATCAAACAAGGCACAATTGGCTGTAAAATGCTAGGACTGGTTGAACCACTCTAGCTTTGCACCTATTGTTCTGTTTTGGAGATGTCAGCCAGCTTATAAGCTATTACTCGGCGCAAAACAACGTATTCTATTAATAAAAGAGAGATTCCGGCTAGCGGAAAATTTACGAAGTACTCGAAGTGCCCGCTGCTCGCCATCTATGTTTTTTCTAAAGTGCTCGCTGCTCGCCATCTGTATTTCTAAAGTGCTCACTGCTCGCGAGAAAAATTTGACAACTGCTCGTGCTCGCAACAATAAACATACTGCTCACATGTTCGCAAATGCTCGCAAAGACCATTCGATACCCCTACAATTGGTCGTCACCGTTTGATGAATGAAAGCGAATTTAATCTTGTTTCCTTCAAGCCAAGTACGTTTTTCTTTCCATAATGAGAAATATTGTCGCCTAAAACTAGAACTTACTTTGGTATAAGCAAATACAATTAACTTCAGATACATTAATTAGTATAGATGGAGCTCCGCTATTATCGTAACTTTTTAGCTGTATTGATCACTTCCCATTGCTTGTACTTAAGGATATAATAAAAGTCAGTTTGGATCGCCTGAGCACCCAGTCATCAACGTCTGTGGATTTTGTATTTGCAATACTTAAGCGTTGGAGCGTAGCGAATGAAAACGCAATTAGTATATTTTAATTCTTTGATTGGGTGGACAAATTTGGGGGAAGTTATTCATGTCACCTACGCACTCGCAAACTAGACGAAGGAGAAATAGGGGTACTGAAAGTTCTTTCTATTAAAAACAGGTCAGACGAACCCTTGGTGTAAGCTACTGAGTCAATTTGCTGGAGGTGAAATGCTTACAGGTAAGCTAATGACAGAAGGGAAATAAAAGGAAATTATGTCATCCGCCTACAGGTAAGCTGATGACATAACTTGCTTTTAGTCTTTTAGTCTTTCAGTCTAGTCTTTTAGTTAGTGACCACATTTGTTGCTTCAATGGCAACCGAAAAAGGTGTTGTGTGGATTTTTGATAAGTGACTTTCAATTTGCAAGAAGAAATCATGGGAACGGCAAGAGATATGCTTTCAAACAAAAATTATTTAGAGGTTGGGCCAAATTTATTCGATCCTGAGAATGAACAAAAACCTTTTGTAGCAACCGTCAGTTCCTAGGACAGGTGCAATATCTTAGTATAGACTGGAATAAAATGTCTCTTTTAGGTAGCGGCTTTAGGTGATCATGACCATCTTGAGACTGAGGTTAAACTAACAACATATTCAATTTCCTGACCATATACTCGTCCTCAATTGTGTGGGCGAGTGAAGGAAAGTAATGTGAATCAGGCGGAAAGCGTTGCCGAAAATCTTCTTGAATGTTCCTGTTTTCCTTTTTGACTGGAGGCAGGAAGTGCTCGGTCTAGTTTTCCGGTAAGACTCATCCTTTTCCAAGAGGCGAGGAACGGTGAATATGATTTCGTTGACTCAGAACAGTGTCTTTTATATACATTTTATATACGGTTTTATATAAATAAATAGCCGGTTCAGAAGTAATGGAACATCATTTGAAGTATTTGTGTACAGCACTTTAGTAAAGTTGTAATTGTGCAAATTGTTCCATAGAGGAACTCCCTTTTAGGCAGACGTTTTAATTTTTTTTCTGTAACCCAAACGTTTCTTTCTACGCTTATGAATACAGGGATGCGGAGTTTAAGAGTTAAAGTTTTTTTTTTTTCTCCTTTGTTTAACTTTGTTTCTTCTTTTTTCCCTTTTTATCAATTTTTTCAAACAAATTTTGTTTGTTTTTTTTCAAGATCTCAAAGCGTTAGTTTCAATTTTGCGACAAGGGAAATGTCCTCCGCTTCCCTCCAGTCTGAACAAATACATAATAAGCTGACTCATTGAAATAGATTGCACATATTGATCTAACTAACTAAGCCACAGATCAACATAACTAACCAACTAATCTTAATGAGGTGGATTACCTCACTAACCTAGTTTCACCCACTTCTCTGTAAACAGCCGCAAAGTTGTTGTCTTATCGGTTGCGGTGAAGTAATAACAACAATAGCAATAACGTGGTGACAGTGATGATGACGGAAGACTTTATTCTTATAGGTTTATAATTTTTATTTCAATCAGGAAAAGTGAGCCAGGAGAGGTCTTAAGGAAACAATTGCTTACAAACATGGATTTCAACTCGTGGAACATTTTTTGGAGTTCGGCTTTCGGACTGTTAGCGGTACTAATCATTTTTGGAAACTTCTTCACCATCTGGGTGTTCCACCGACAGGGATCACGCAAACGATCTTACTTTCTACTAATCAGTTTGGCTGTTGCTGATTTAATGGTTGGATTGTTTGCAATTCCACTTTTTATGAAAAATAACAGCACGGAACATTCTTATTTGTGGCGGCTCGTGTCAAAGTCTTTTGACGTTTTCACTGGTTTAACGTCCATCTATACACTAGCAGTCATTTCCTTGGAGAGAATGTTTGCCATCGTATGCCCTTTACGCCACAGAACTCTGACATCTCGTAATTACATCTACGCTATTGCTATACCGTGGATGGTAGCAGCAGTCTTCGTTACTGTTCTCATTCTTTACTCTTATGAGATTATAAAACATCCAAGTTATAGATTTCTTCTCCTCCTGTTCCAGACCACGCCATTGCTAACCATGTGTGTCGCGTATTTCAGTATTTGGATCAAACGGAAATCTACGATGGGAATCCAAAATCACAGAGCTGCAAGAGAATCAAAATTAGCCAACACTTTATTTTTGGTTACAGGAGCTTCTCTTTTAACTTGGACTCCATTTCAAGTTTTCAATAATTTGATTTCGTTTGACCGTTTGCGGATTTCTTTGACATTATTGTACCTAAGCAGGATTTTACAGTTTAGCAACTCGCTTGTGAACGTAGTAATTTATCCCCTAAGAATTCCACAATTTAAGACAACTTTCAAGAACATAATTCATTATTGTGGGGCTGTATCTCAGAGACCTACAACTGCACGCTCCCAACCAGCTGTTCCTTTGAACAGAATTACTCAATTGCGATGCTGAACAGTAAATTTTAC